GGATAATACCGATATATTCTACAGTTGAAGGTGTGTTGAAAAGCTGTACCAAGTTTCAGCTGAATAACATAGCTGGGAACTGAGTTCGTATAGGAATCTATATGATATAGTGGATCGATTCGGATAATACCGATATATCTTTCATTCGAGGGTCTAATAAGCAGCTGTACCAAGTTTCAGCTTAATCCCTTCGCTGGAAGCTGAGTTCGCATAGGCAATATGATGGACGAGTTTCTATAAGAATGTAACACTAAGAACTTAGTTTGCATAGAACATACAAAACTGAACTTGGAATTAAAACGTTGTTATAAAAGTTCCCTTACATTATATTATATGAAATCAATAAGAATATGAAGAAAAAGAGTCTTAAAATAGTAAATTTTGGTAAGATATTAAAAAAATTAATTTGCCAAAATCGAGAATTTATAGATACCAGAGGTTGCTTCAAGAAGTTGATGTCCAATTTTATTATATAAATTAAATTATATTATATTATTTCATTATATAAATTATATATTATACTTTATATACACTATAAATATAGGAAAGTTTCTTGCGAAGTGCTGGGAAATAAAAATAACCGCAGCAAGGGCGAAAAAAAAAAGGTCATGTTTTTTGGGCACAACTTGTGTTGTTGTCGCCTTGGCCAGGGCCATGCTACAGATACTTGTTCCATATGCAAATATATATATATATATTTCTATATACATGAAGATACATATATAGATATATGTATATATATATATATTTGCTGGTGCTTTGGGGCAAGTTGTGACGGAGCAGACAATGTTTGCGGCAGTTTTTCAAGTTCGTTGCCGGCGCTCGCTTGACTGCCACTTGACATAAACCCCACCCCCTCCCCCTCTCCCCACCCGCCTCCCCCTCTCCCCACCCCGTCGCATCCCCCCGTAATACCCATCCAGTATCCGACTGCAGTCTGCAGTTTTGGCACTTGATTTATAACCAGCGGCAAATGCCGGACCCCGACAAGCGATTTTTTGCGCTCGCTTTTTAGCCGTTTTCATGCAACAAGTGTGGCAAGTAGCAGCAGAAGAAGAAGCAGTAGTGGGAGCAGAAGTAGAAGAAGAAGCAGCAGTGGAAGTGGGAGCGGGAGCAGAAGAAGAAGACGTTGCGGCTGTTGCTGTAGAGGAAGTTCTTTGGTGGCTTTTATCTCGTTGCAAAAAACTGATCAAAGTCAGACAATGTTGACTTTTTTTTTTTTGTCCGCAGGACTTTTCCACTCAGTCAACTGTAAAAATAAAGCCATCCGGCGGGGAGGGGGGGGGGGGGGCGGGTTGCGGGGGCGGTTTTGGGTGTGGTTGCGCGCAAACTTTAAGGCATTTTCATTTATCAATATAGTACTTCAAAGTGCGAGGAAAATGCCTTTATTTCTACGAAATAACAAATTCATAGATTCACATTTTCTTCTGACTTTGTTTTAAGGTTTATTTTGTTCTTCAAAATTTTGAAAATTTTTCTATTTAATTTTCTTAAGGTTTTTTTTTTTTTGAAGAAAAGCAACTTTTCAACTTAAAGCTCTGTTCTAGAAGCTTTTCAAATTCTTAAAGCTCATCACTTTCTTAGGGCTCATTAACGTTTCTTCAGCTGTTCAACTTCTTAAAGCTCTTCAACTTAAAGCTCAGCTCTTCGACTTGAAGCTCGGCTCTAAATGCTCTTCTATTTCTTAAAGCTCAGCTATTCAAGCTCTTCTTCGACTTAAAGCTCGCTTCTTAACTCTTGAACTTAGGGCTCATTAACGTTTCTTCAGCTGTTCAACTTCTTAAAGCTCTTCAACTTAAAGCTCAGCTCTTCGACTTGAAGCTCGGCTCTAAATGCTCTTCTATTTCTTAAAGCTCAGCTATTAAAGCTCTTAAAGCTCGCTTCTTAACTCTCCAACTTAGGGCTCATTAACGTTTCTTCAGCTGTTCAACTTCTTAAAGCTCTTCAACTTAAAGCTCAGCTCTTCGACTTGAAGCTCGGCTCTAAATGCTCTTCTATTTCTTAAAGCTCAGCTATTAAAGCTCTTCTTTGACTTAAAGCTCGCTTCTTAACTCTCCAACTTAGGGCTCATTAACGTTTCTTGAGCTGTTCAACTTCTTAAAGCTCTTCAACTTAAAGCTCAGCTCTTCGACTTGAAGCTCGGCTCTAAATGCTCTTCTATTTCTTAAAGCTCAGCTATTAAAGCTCTTAAAGCTCGCTTCTTAACTCTCCAACTTAGGGCTCATTAACGTTTCTTCAGCTGTTCAACTTCTTAAAGCTCTTCAACTTAAAGCTCAGCTCTTCGACTTGAAGCTCGGCTCTAAATGCTCTTCTATTTCTTAAAGCTCAGCTATTAAAGCTCTTCTTCGACTTGAAGCTCGCTTCTTAACTCTCCAACTTGAAAGCTCTTCAACTGTTCATCAACATCTTAAAGCCCTTCAACTTAAAGCTCAGTTATTAAAGCCCTGCTCTCGCTCTTATATTATATTCTTCTACTGTATTGATCTCTTGTCGATAATTGTTTTTGCGACGTCTGTGAAATGAAAATTTGGCTCGTTCTTGTTTTTGTCGGTTCTGTGACTTTTGTCGGAAATTCTAGACCCTAGAAAATGGTTTATATGGAATATTAATTTTGCGCTTCTTCCATCAATTCCCTCGTTACGAATTGTGGCACAAATTGTGGTTCGTTTTTATTACAGCTGCTGTTTGTTGCGGGCGGGCCGTGACGAGTGGAAGGGGGAGTGGAAGGGGTAGGGGGAGGGGGAGGGGGAGGAACAGCAGGGGGTCGGGTGGGCGTTGCTCTGAATTCTAAAACTTATAATCATGACAGCCAGACACGCTAGAGTTGAGCCCAAGGAGCTTTTGGCTCCTGGTCAGGAAGTTTGACTGCGTCTCCTGGCGGGTTTGTTGTTCTTGTTATACCCTGTAAATTTGGAAAATGGATATTTGTTTCCGAGACTTTACTTGATGCCATGACGAGGCAGCTCATGTCTACTATAAATTATCGATAACAGCTTCTTATTTGTGAAAAATCGATTAATATCGATATATATATGGATTTTGAGCATATCTAATAGTTTTTTAAAAGAGCAGAGACTTTAAATTCAGCAGAAAGAGTTAGTTTTTTTTTTGTCGATAACTCCGAGAAAACATCTACAAATCGATAAATATCGATTGCGAGCCAAGTTTCTGAGCATATCGTTTAGTTTTTGAAAACCAGAGACGTTCGATCTGAAATTCCCGAATAACACAAGCAGGAAGCGTTTGTTTCTTTTATCGCTAACATTGTGAACTTCGTTAAAATCGATAAATATCGATATGTAAATAATAACCAGCTAGAGACACCAAATGGGGCATACACAACTCGAGATTTCTTCACTTTTTGGATAAGAAAGGAACTTTATGGGGCAAGGCCTCATGTAATTGCCATATTTGGGGCTCGAAAACTTTGTTTACCTTTATTCGTGTTTAGCCTTTGCCTGGCCGCTCGTACAGGGTAGCTGCTAGTCGTGCATGCTCGACGTGCTCTTGGTTCTAGTTGTTGTGTCGTGTCTAAGGTTTGTTATTATATTAAAATAATATAATGATTATTATTGCTACAATTCCTGAGCCTGACTGACTGACTGACTGACTGCCTGCTCCTGCTTCTTCTTCTTCTTGCTGTTGCAAGTTGTTGTTGTTGCAAGTTGTTGTTGCTGTTGTTGTTGCTGCTGCTGCTTGTGGCATGTGTGTATAAATCATTTGAATTCCGCTTCGTTTTCCACTCGCCATATCGAAGACATTTCGTGTGACGCCATATTTGTCAAATGACGTTTAAATTTATGAGCAAATGATATATGAGTAACAGGCACACACACACACACACACGCACACACACACGCACACACACTTGAGCGCATGTTGAATGAATGCGTTGTTTGTCAACGCTCCTGAGTTTGCTTCCAAAACTAAAGTTCAATAGCCGCACACACTCACACACACACTCACACACACACACACACACTCACACACACACACACTGAGCAGACCCGGGTCTAGACAACATATTTCGCGTTATTTGATATCCCAATGTTAAACCATATGTGGGCCATTTTCCACGTCTGTTCCCAGCGCGCATTCTCCCTCTCCCTCTCTCTCTCACTCTCGCTCTCTCCCTCTCTCTCTTTCGCACTCGATCGGCCACACTTGTTCTTGTTGTTGTTGTTTCAAGTAATTAACGCCCTCAGCAAAAAATAATAAAGTATTTCAACTGAGACCCGAAAATCATTTTTAAAGTCATAAAATGTTGTTGTTGCTTTTTTTTTTTTTTGGGTAAAACAAAATAAACAAAATCAAGAATGGAGCTCACTTGATTTAAGTTTAAAGTGTTTCATTCTTATAGTAAAATTAAAGTACTTTTAAAGAGTAGTTGGATCAAGGGTAATATAAACATGGATAGATAAAATAGATAGATTTCTTGAAGAGAGAAAGTATGCATGGATATATATAGGTATCTATATATAGATAAATAGGTTTTGATATATAGGTGTACATAGATGGGATTAACATAACATATAGATATAGGGGATAGATAGGCCTAGTTTAAGCTGAGGCTAGTTTTTCTAGAGGAACTCAACTGTTATACCGAATAAGAAATATAACTACTTTACTGAATCAAATTTGATATGCCCTAAAAAGAATTGTCTAGATCATTTTTAATATAATTGGCATATCTTTAGATACAAAGCCCAGTTAACTTGGTGTTCCTTTTTTTTTTACCACCAGTGTATATATAAAAAGTGCCCAAAACTAAACACAATTCCTTTCCCTTAACTTAATATATTACAGTTAGGCATTCACATAAACTATTATAATATAGATTGTTATACAATTAGCAACTGTAAAATATTACATTTTGTCAGTTCTAATCAACTCTTTTAAAACTCTCTTAAGCTCTTAGATTCGTAAAAAAAAAAACAGAACGGGATTTAAAGCTGATCAATTTTAAGCTCGTGACAGTTATTGAATATCTCTTCACTTACCTTATGATAATTGTTTTACATGGCAAGCGGCTAAGATCCATGGAGAATCCCTCGAAGAAGGCGCACTTAAAGCATTCACGAGCTGCAAAGATCGAAAGCAAAGAGAGCGAATTAAATGTGAGAAGAGAGCGAGCATCAAACAAAGAATTCACAAGGCTGCGGTTCGAGTTGCGTGTTCGAGTTCGCTTGATCAGTCAGAAGCGTGCGCGAGTAAGCGAGATAGCATGTGCCGCGCAAAGTGGAGTGAAGCGGCGCAGAGCAGGGCAAACGAAGGAGTAAACAAAACAGAATGCGGCGCGGAGAGCAAGAGCGGGAGAGAGCGGGAGAGAGGCGCGGGCTGAAGCGGGAGAGCGGCAACTGGCGCGTAGGCGCTGAAGAACAATAAACAATAAAAATAAGAATAAGATAAAACAGGCAGAAGAAGAAAAAAAAACATATATGAAAAATGTTGAGCGATGAATCAAAAGCAATATCAAGAGGAAGAAGCAGAACAGAAGCAATAAAACGCAATTGAAGCAACAACAAACTCAAAACAAAATCATAAAACGCGTTAAAATAAGCAGAAAAGCAAAAGAAATTAAGTGCTGGCGAAAAAGAACAAGCAAACGAAGAGGGAGGGGGAGGGGGGGGGGGGGTTGGGAAGGGCAGAAGGGGAACAACAAGAACAAGTAAAGTAACTGTTCGGTTAGACAGCGCAAATTCCAATTAGATTCTGTGAATCGCATTGTGAATTATTCGAGTTTCTATTTTGTATCTGACAGATACGCAGAACAGAACAAATAAGTAAAACACGTTTAATTCTAGTATTAAATATTTATTTAACTTCATTTCATTGCTATAACATTGTTTTGTCAATTATTGTTCCTACTCATCATTGGAATTATTGTTTTACTCGATATATTTGAGTAACAGCTTCAAGAATTTCTTTGGCATTTGGCGTATTCATAACTTGAAATCGAGAATGGTTTAAAAACTCAAATCGAAGCAGAGAAAATTACATTTCCTGAACTCCTTATTGTTAACAAGAGTTTCAGACATGCATGGATAAATATATATACATGTGTGTATTATAAAAAATCTACAATCTATATAAATTCAAGCAAGTTCCTATAAGTTTCTTTCACACATTCACTTGGGAAGAAGTCCTCTTTTCCTTGTCAACTTTTTAAATCCCAAGAATTTGTAAGCGAGAATTAGGCTTCACAAATTAATCATCCCTTCCTTTCACCTTAGTCATAGTAAAGAAGCCTTTTTTGGCGAGGTTGCTGGTTCAAACCAGACTAGTGTATAGCTTTAATGGACCTACTTTATAGCCTAAATAACTTTTATATCGCATTGTATCTTATGCTAACAATAATTAAAGTGTTGGCTAACTTCATTTTGTCTTTCTTGTATATTTCGACAATTTTCAGGCCGTAAACTTGGCGCTTTCCCACAGTTTCCTCAAGATGTTTGGTAAGCAATTTCTTGAGCTCTTCTGCTTTAAACTTAAAATGCTTTAATTTGTTGTATTCCTGGAACTCAGTCGACCTGTTGCTGCTACCCAATTCGAGAGTCTCTTTTTTCGTTTGGTACTTCTTGTGATATAAAACATATTTGGACTCATATTGTTTAGATTTATGAATTCGAGCTCTTTAGTTAACTTTATTGTAGCATAAATCTCATATTATAATCTCAATAGCATCTGTTTTCATTTGTCATCTCTTTTGGATATTATTCATGGATACATTTCTCGACCTAAAGAGGTTTAGAGTTTAGTTACAAAACATTCTCTATACTTCTTTTATATAACACGACTTTCTGGGTAAATAGTACTTTACTTCATAAGATTCAGCTGCATTTTTTTTTTGTATATATTCCAACAGTTTTTGCTTTAACTTTGCTTCTCCCTCCAACAATACTTAATACTCTCTTTTCAACTAGGTTTATTTCTACATTGAAGTAATATTTGCTGCTTAACTTTTCTTATTGGTTCACTCAGTTCTAACAACAATAGGCAATACTTTATTTTATAAGGCTCCACAGTAAGTATTTCAACAGTTATTTCTGTACTTGTTGCTTCTTCCTTAACTCCAGAAATACTTAATATTTGTTATTTATTCAACTTGGTATATATTGTATTTTTGTTCCTGCATCACTTTTTTATTGTTGTGACTCAATAGTTGTTTATTCCATCAATTTTTCAACACATTTTCGCTTGATAATTCATTTATGCTCTATGAACTACATTCCACAACTCGCACAGTCTTACAACTTAGTAAAGAAAAGACTTTTTTCTTTGGCTTAAAAAACTCAGTTGGTTTTTGTAATGAGAGCTCTTACTTAACAGAGTTCTTATTCGGGAGAGTTCTTACTCTAGAGAATACCTTTTCTAGAGACTTCTTAATCCATCTGAGTTCATCTGGTATTTTTTTTCCCCTTTAAATATATTGCTTATACTATAGATTTGTTGCTTGATTTACAAAGATTTATCATTCCAAAAGTGTTCTCTATATTTATTTATTGATCAGGAAGCGGCAAACTGTACTCGGGACAGTTCTTCGACAAGAAGAAGAAGCACAACAACCACATGGCAAAGAGGCAGAAGAAGAAGAAGAGGCAACAAGAGGCAAGAAGCTGACTAAGAAATGTTGTGTTGCCTCATCGACGACAAGCGCGACTTGAGCTGCGACTGCGACTGCGGCAGCTGCACGAGTTGTTGTCGTTGTTGTTGTTGTTCTTCTTCTTCTTCTTCTTCATGTTGTTGTTGTTGTTGTTGTTGCCTTAATCATCGCCAAAAACAAGTTTTGATTGTTGTTGTGTTTGGCTTAGCGCGTAAACCCAAACTCCAGCAATGCACGAATTGCCCTGTCTCTTTCGCTCCCGCTCCCTCTCTCTCTCTCTCACTCTCTCAGCGTCCAGTTTTGTGTAGTTCGCTTGCTGCATTCAGTGTTGATCAACGTTGTTGTTGTTGTTGTCGCTCCATTTTTGGCGCTGAGCGCAGAAACAGAAACAGTTCCCGTTTGTTGGCGCCGTTTATGCGCTCCAAATGCAGAGATTCCAATTGGAATTTCTCCAGCAATAGTTCACTTTAGTTCACTTTTTCGTATTCACGTACACGTAATCACAGTTTCACTATTTCACCTTTTCGCGCATTCACATTTTCACGTATTCACGTTTAATGAAAAAAATAAAGAATTATTTTTATATATTTTATGCATTTTCCAAAGTTTTATCTTTTCATATTTATCAGATAAAGCTGCCAATCGAAAATTGAGTTCTAACTTGTTTAAACTCTGATTTAAGCAGCATATATGCGAGATATCCAACACATCGGCTATATATAATATATATGTATATCCATAATAAATATATTCGATAGGTATAAGAAGCGAGTCAAGAAATGAATTCTTGTTAGTCTCAAATAGGCTTTACTTTCTTTATCACATATAAACGAAATCCTTTTAATAGGACTTTTTATGGATTGGAAGCAATTGCTCGCAAAGAATATTCCTTTTAGATATTTTCACTTTACAAAATTTGTGACTTCAAATAAGAATGCATTAAATTTGTTTTAAATAGTTTCAAGTACAATTTGTTCAATTTTGCTTGGCTTCGGCTGTTGATCACGATTTGTGACTAAATCGCGTTATGCGCTGCGCATGAACTTCATTTTGGGAGGCTTCCTTTTTGGCATTTTTGTTGTTGCTCTCGCCTCTTCCTTAACATGTGTGTGTGCGTGTCTGTGTGTGTGTGTGCCGCAGTAACAGCCTCAAAATATTCGCAAAGAATTGAAGCCAAAGAAGTTTCAAAAAAAAAAGAGAAAAAACCCAAAAAAAAAAAGGAACAAGCTGGAAAAGAAGCAAAAGCAGCAGCAGACGCAGAAGAAGCAAAAATAAAAGACGCTCGTCTCGAGTTCTCAGACTCGTGATCTCCCTGGCAAAGGTCTCCGGCTCCGGCAAAAGCAGATCTCAACTGAATCGTGTGAAGAGCTTTCGTTCCATTATCTCCAAAATAAAAAAAACGGGGAAAAAAATTTAGTTTTTTAATAGACTTGTTTCTCGTAATGGCCAGCGGATAAAAAATGATTATAATTTTTTGCTAGTCAAATCAAACGATTAGTTTTCCATTAACACCGAAGCGCGAGAAGAAGCCGGAAATACCCTATCACATTTAGCAAACGGGTTGGTTACGTTTTGGGGGTCTGAACTAAATTTGAGTTAACTTTTGCTTAAATCGAGCCCCAAACTGGCTGAGAAAACAGTTCAGCAATCTTTAAGAACGTTCCCATAAATATCTCTTTGCAAACTATATAAAGAAGAAGCAGCCTGGAAAGTTCTCGATGAACTTTGATTGATTCAGGGGCAAGTTTTCAGAATTCGAAACTTGGCGCATTGTTTGGCGAACTTGTTGAAAATCGAAAATGGACTGAAAACATTTAAAAAGCAGCTTTGGCAGGCTTAAGCTTTAAGCTGAAGAAAATGGGAAAAGCCTGCGCGTGAGCGGAGGGGGAGGGGGGAATCGCAGATATTTCTGAGAAAAGTTTTCAAAAATGAAAAGTTTTGTGAAAACGGGAAAGAGAGCTATAACGGGGCGCACTTTGATATATGTATATATATTTATTAAGATTTGAACTATGCTTTAACTAGCAGTTATTGCCCGGCGTTGCCCGAGCTAGAGAGACAGAGAGAGAGCTCTGCAAATAGCCTGCTCTTCGAGGCAAAAAAAAACCTTTTTTTTTTTTTAAGTATAATTTTTCTAACATTTGTCTTGCCGTAATTGCTTTTTCCTTCGCTCAAGTCAGTTTTCACTGTAGCCCGCAAATATTTGCCAATACGCTTTGCAACACTTGACACAGGCTCAGCTGAGCAAAAGGCATTCGCCCTCTCTCCCTCTCACTCTCACTCTCTCTTTTACCCCACACTCCAATTGTCAAATTTGTCATGTGTTCTTTTTTTTTTTTCAAAACAAAATTCACCTCAAATTACATGGGATATTAAACATTTTTGCTGGTTGACAGCAATTTTAATTTCATTCCTCTACAACTCGCCCTCTTCCCCTCTCCCCCTCTCCCCCTCTCTCTCGTTCAGGCAGCAGCTGCCTTTGTGCGTGTCTTGTCTTGCGTAGTCTGCTAATCACCTTTGCTGCTGCTGCTTCTTCTTATTTGTCTCTTCATTAAAAGCACACACACACACACACACACACACACACACGCGCACACACATGCATGAGGAGCAGCGCAGACATGAGCTGCTTTTGTATTGGTCCTTTTTTTCGGCTAACTGTACTCGCGCTTTACCAAAACACAACACGCGTCGCTGCCGCAGCGCTGCTTTCTTTCAGTTTTTTTTTTTTTTTTGGCAGCGTCTCAGCCGCAATCGCAGCTTTTGCATGAAGAACAAGTTTTATTTTCGCGCTGTTGTTATGTGTGTGTGTGTGAGTGTGTTTTTTTGGCCCTGCCAATTGCAATTTTCATTGTGATTCATATTTGGCTTTTAAATTGGCCGTTTTATGCGGTTTTGCGGCTGCATTTCGGCTGCCTTTTTTTTACGTTTGTTTCGTTTTTGTTATTGTTTGCAGACATGAACCGGTTGAGCGGGCATAAAACGTAATAATTGTTATTTTAAATGCTGCTCTCTGCATTTTTGATTATTATTGCACACACATAAGCAAAGCAAGTTTTCGCTTGAGCAGCAAAGCCAGCTGCAGGCGCAATTTAAGGAGCACAACAATTCAAATTAAGCTGCAGGCGCAACAAATGTAATTAAAGAGCGGGCAGCGCAGTTAGCGGAGGCTGCACATGCAAAAGAGCGAGAGCGCCTGATCGCAGGCCGCGCTTAAGAATTAGTGCACAGCACACACACACACACACACAATCAAATGCATAACGCAGCGGCTCAGATTAAGAGCGCTAATTAAGCTGCGCTCCACTGCTTGAAGAGCGCAAACTTTCTTGTTGTTGTTGCTATTGCAGTTCTAAGAGCGAATTAAGCTGCACGCGCAGGTAGCAGCTGCTGATGCTGCACATGCAAAAGAGCGTGAGCGCGAGATCGCTTAAGAAAACACACACACACACACACACACACGCACAAATAATGCAGCAAAGCGCGCAAAACAAAATATAAAAATGCGCTCGTATTGTTGTTGTTGTTGTTGCTATTTCCATTTGTTATTGTTGTTGCTGCGGCTGCTGCATTTGCTGGCTGAACCGGTTCAACGGGTTGCCTCACACACACCAGCACACACACACACACACACACCAGCACGCACACGCTTGCACTTTTGCCCGTTGTTGTTTTTGGTTTTTGGTTATTTTTTTTTTTTTTTGTAATTCCTTATTTTATTTTTTCTTCTTCTATTTCTTTACCTTTGCTATTGGCTCTGCTTCGGCTCAGCTTCTGTTTTGACTTTTGCTGTTTTCTTTTTTTTGTCGTGCATTAATTTTGATTTATTTGCATTTTGCATTCATTTATTGCATTCGTATTTGCTTTGCTCTTCGCACTCACTTTCAAATAAACAACAAAAAAAAACTAACTTTGATTTTTAACGCAGAAAACACGCGCGCATTTTGCAACTCTTTTTATTCTTCTACTTTTCTTCGAATATTACTTTTATTTTGAATTTCTTTTCGCTTTTGTACTCTCTTTTATTTTGCCGGCGAAAATCAAAATTTACCAAGAATCACAAAAATTTACGGAATTTACGTTCTGACTCGCTCACTCGCACCGGACCGCTGCACGACCGCCTCGTTCGGCTTTGCTTTTGCATCTGTTAACAGGGCGGCTGGCGTTAACAGTGGCAACTGTTACGGCGCTTGCTGGCCAGCGTCGGGCACAGCGCTGTTACGACAACAGTCGCCGTTAACAGTCGCACTGTTAAACGCCACGCAACCTGTTAAGCACATGTTGGCTCTCGCGCCTGAGCTAAGAGAGCGGCAGTCGCTGTTGCGTGGGCGTACGCTCTTAAATGGGCGGCAGCTGTGCCCTGCCGCCTGTGTGCGTGTGTGTGTGAGCGTATTTGCATTGTCATTGCTGCAATTTAACTGTTGTAATTGGCAATGGGAGTAACAATTGTTGCGGTTCTTTGTTTTGATATGCAACATGCAAAGCGGGCCAAAAGCCTTAAGAGTAATTGTTACAGTTTAAGGAACAGCCCGCACACACACACGCACGCACACAGCTGCCCAATCGCCGCCGCGACAATTAAAGATGTGCGTGATTACGTCGTGAGTGCCAAATTGATCGCATCTTAAGCGATATTTAAAGATTTTTCGTGTCACATTCAAAAATTGATGAAAATCGTCAAATAATTGCATTAAAATTGAAAATTTGTGTTAAAGAAATCTTAACTTAACGTTGAATTAAAATTTAACTATTCACCTTGTATAAAAATATGTAAATAATTATTGAAAACTTTAATATCAAATATTTATACTGAATTTATATTTTAGTTTATTAAATAGTATTAACAAATATTTAATCGGAATTTGTATAAAAATTCAAATAATTATTAAAACAATATTAAGAAATATTCATTCTAAATTTATATTAAAATTTAAGTACTTTTATGTTTACTTTTAAATATTTTCATAATTAAATACTTAATGAAAAGGTGCAAAATTTATAATTAAAAAGTTCGCTTAAGAACCATAAATTGAAAGAAAATAAACAAAAAAAAATGAATGGTAAAAATTGAAAAATTCCCCCTTTGCGAGGCTCCACTGTCATAGTTATTATTAATTATTATTGTGGCCGAGCTTTTGCCTTTGCAATTTCCATGTGGCTCGCATTATTTGCCTTTTGCTCATTTGACCCGATGCGGTTGCACTTTAGTTTTTTGTATACCCTGTAAATGGTTGTCCCAGATGGGGTATGTTCGTTTCGAGCGGGCGGGCAAAGTTACAAAAAATAAAATAACAATAAAAAATGAGAAAAAAAGAAATATGAAAATAAATATGTATTTCTTTTGGTATTTATTTATTTTTACTTTTTCTACTATATAATTTAAACATAATATAATTATATGAAAATAATTTATTATAGACCCTATACACCTAGATCTAGAATATTTCACATTTCCTAAATTTCCCTTTCTCCAAAATATAAATAGATTCTAATAAATTCAAAAGTTTTTCAAGCTTCGAATTTTTTGATACACTCAAAAAAATTGCTAGCTTAATATTCAGAAAATTTAAATATAATCAAATCGATTTTTTCACAGAAAATAAACTCCGAATTTCGGAAAATTTTGATACAAAAAAAAAAAGTCGCCCCGCGAATTTCTTTGAGTGTAGTTTCTGGGCAAGAAGAAGAGACGCTGCGCTTTGATGGCAGCTTGGCACTTGGTACAGGGTATCTGCTAGTCGCGCAATATTTTCAGCTAATTTTTGTAAGCCTTTCAGCCTTTTTCAAGCTATTTTGTTGGCTTATTTTTGCGGTTTTATATTGTTCGGAAGTTTTTATCATGCCTGGCAATTAAATGGCTTATGGTGTGTGTGTGTGTGTGTGTGTGTGTGTGTGTGGGTGTGTGTTAAATTGTGTTGAAAGGCGAGGACTTGAATTTCTGCAATCCGAAACGTGCAACTGCAGCAAATGCCACAAGCACGCAACAACTTGCGCCAAGTTGAAGACTCACCCGCCAAAAAATACCGAAAAAAATACTAGCAAAATAACAAAATACAAGCCAAGAAAATCATATTGTGTTGCATAAAATGAACATGAATTAGCGCATGCCACATGCCACATGCCAGCCATTGTCAAGGTCAAAGGCCGTTCACGGCTTTGTTTGGCGGCAACGAAATTTGCTTTAATTAACGTTAACATTTCGCAGACACTTTGTCAATGAGCCGGCAGCAATTGGTGGGTCGCAATTGCAGAGGGGGCAGAGGTCACGGGTGGCAGCTGCAGGTGGGCAGCTTTCCGGGGGCAAGTCGGGGGCAAGTCGGGGGCAAGTTGGGTCGTTTATTGGCGTCCACGCGCGCGGGCCACCTTGGGCTGACAGATAAGGCCAAGGTTCTTTGTCTTGCCAGGGGGGGGGGGGGGGCACCTTACTGCCCGAGGGGGGGGGGGGCTGGGGCATATCAGCACTTCCTGACAGCCGCGCGCACAGCATATTATCAAATATTGTTGCAGCAACAACGGAAATTTGCCACCTGCAAAAGGACACCAAATTTTTTCGAATGCCCTATTTTTGCTAGCATGCCCGGGTATACACCATCGTCGCACACAGTAGGTGACATACATATATCAGCGCGATTTGAGCCAGCATCCTCTCTTTTAGTGGCGTTATGTGAATTTGATTTTCAGTCGGAAAGGACAGGAATCAAATATTTCAGCTTGCTTTCATTTATCTACATATCATTTCATCTACAAGCTGCTTTCTTCTTCTTCTCTTCTTCTTCTTCTTCCCCTCTCCTTTCGTTTCTTCTTCCTCTTCTTCTACCTCTTCTTCTACCTCTTCTTCTACCTCTTCTTCTTCCTCTTCTTCTAGCTCTTCTTCAGTAACCAGAAGATCTGTTGCCTTGAGGTTAGTTTATCACTGGCTACAGGGTATCTGCCAGTCGCGCTATATTTATAGCCTTTTTTTTTAGCCTCTTTCAAGCCGTTTTGTTCTTTTTTTCTGTTCTACATCAGCTACTTCTGCCTGCCGTGCCTGTTAGGGTATTTGCTCTTCGGCCTGGCCCTCTTCTTCTTCTTCTTCTTCTTCTGCTTCTCTTATTTGTGGCACGTCGATGGCGCGTCAATGCCGACGCGGCTGACGTCGCTGCCGCTGCCTATTGGCGTCATAAAATTTGTCAATTTATGGGAATGTGGCAAATGCCAAAAAAAAAACAAAACAAAACATCGCAAATGTTAGCCAAGAAATACACTGAGAAAAATTAAAAAAACTACTCGAAAGCTAGGCAAAAAAAAAAGGGAAAGCAGCGAGAAGCTTTTGAGAGAAGTTCACTTGGCTTTTTGCTTGAACAGCCTGCGCTTATTTTAAGCAACTTTCGGATCCCTGCGAACTAGTTCGAACCGGTTCTTTAAAGCCAAATAGTTCACGTGGCTTTTAGTTCACTTTATTTTGCATTTAACTTGTAATTTTCATTAATTTTGCTTTATTTTTGAGCCACTTTTTGGCCTTTTTCAAGCTAGCCCAACTTTTTGAAAACCCTTTTGTATAGTTCTTAAACCACTTTTAGAGATGTTTGGAACCAGTTCTTTGTATATCTTTGAAGTCGCATTGCAAGCACATTCTAAACAAATTGTCAATCATTGCAAAATTAGTTTGAATTTGCGTTAAACACTTTTCAAACCGCTTTTAAGCATTTGAACCATATTTAAAAACCTATTTGAAAGCATTTTGGAACTAGTTTTAAAGGCCTTTTGATTCACTTGTGAACTGCCTTTGAAGCTGCATGGAAATTAGCAAAATTTTGAAACAGTTTCTCAAACACTTTCAAAACAGTTAAAAAACCTCTCAAAGCTTAGCTAAAAGCCAGCTTCAAATCCACTTTAAACCGCTTTAAAGCGTCTTCAAACCGCTTTTGAAATCGTTCTAAAACCACTTTTGGGGTTAATTTCTGATTCGGATTTCGTGAACAACTGCAACAACCAATGGCACACGCATTTCTCTCAGTGTATTCGCACCTTTGCCTGGTGGGCTAAGCGGCATCCATGTTTATACCTGCCCAAGGTGGGGGCCACGCCCCTTCGATGGGCACGCACCATTTCCACAGTTTCCAAATGCTTTTAATAAAGTTACAAAGCTGACAAACAGAATCCGCGTTCTGCCTGTGCGGTTGACAACTCGCGTTGGGGCAGCTGCCCCCAAAATTGTGGCATAAATAAAAATACATTTCTTTTATTTTTATTTATATATGTATATGTATATGTATGTGGCGGGCATTTAGCCAAAATTATTGAAACAGGAACTGACAACAAGGACAAGGCGAACATCTCTTGTTGCTATTATGCTGTTATTGTTGTTCAGATATTTGCCAAGGCTTTAAATTGTTTGAAAAAACTCGATAATGGTCGCAGGTTCAATGCAACGAAATCGAAATATCATTTCCAGAGCATTATGAATATAGTTTTTAGCCATAAACTTTCAATCGAGCTTAGAAAACTGTAGCGACCACTTTGGGCTTTGTTCAAGACAACAAACATACTGCGTTTCGAACCAGCGACCTCTTTTTTTTAAGTTACCCGAATGAGTCCTTAACAAAGGCAACTCTATTACAAATTGTTAGCCCAACACTTTAAATAGCTCTGGCTATAAAGAGCTATGGCTATGCTTTAGTACAAGCAGCCACAAGTTTGAGATTTGAACCGGCAACTTCTCTTTTTATGTTGCCTGATTGACTTGAATATGCATTCTCTTAATATACATATAAATTAATATATCTATATATGCAAATATGTAAGGCAGCAATCCAAGCAGAGTGTATATCGGGGATTCGAACCG